TATAGGCACTTATGAAGGCTGGAGAAAACTCGTGGAGCTGCCCCAATTCGGGATACAATGTCATCTTCACTCTGTCCATTCAGCAGCAATCTCGCTCTGAGGTATTTGGAAATGTCTACTACTTCAAGTTGACAGCCACTAATCTCGAGAGGTGCTTTCTCTTGGGCAGGGATGTAGCATGGGAACACTTTGGTCTTTCCAAACGTTTATGGACAAACCGACGGATTTTGCGACTTCTTTCACCCGTGACGCCTTAGAGTGTTGATCGCCAAAGTTTAAAATTAGTAAAGCGACATCATCGGCACGACTTTTAGCGGAAAATATTCACTCCAGTGAGGAATGTGTGAATGTAAAAATGAAGTTCCTAGCGTTGACCTTGCTGTGCCTTCTCTTCGCCGGTCCGAGACAGTAAGGTGCAGTTGCTTACTGAACTATACACCACACAGGACCTGGTCCCCCCCTCAGATTTCATTTGCGTGGTCAGCATTGATTGTGCATGGAGTGAGAAATAGTGGACCGAGAGGGAGGCTCAGTGGCTCCTCCATAATGTGGTCTGCAGCTAACTGAATAGTGGCTAGGGTTAAAAGGCTTAACTTTGTGCATGTAATTGCGGTGACATAAACTGAGGGCAATGGTTACCAAAATTGGGTGATAGTAAAGCATGTGAATGCTCAGCCCTTGAATACTACATGGGAAGTCAGGCATATCGAGACTAAACTAAATGCAGAGAAAAATCGAAAGGGCAAAGCGTAGGAAAGAAGCTTCTGTAAAATAATTTACCGTCCATCCTTGGGCTTTCGCATAAAACCCCACTTGACACCCGCAGGAAAACCAGCGCCTCCACGGCCTCGGAGGCCAGACTTTTTGATTTCGTTTATTATCCAATCCTGACCCTTGAGAACTATCTCCTTAGTCTTGTACCAACAACCCTGACGAGAGAGATGTTTAAATATGATGGAAAAGTAACAAACCCTTTGCATAGCACCCTTCAAATGCCAGTCGCGAAGACCGTAGAGATTGGTAAAAATACGGTCCTCATCAGTTAACGGTGAGGCAGCGCCGGTCTGGGTGCAGAGGGTAAAGGCTCCGTAAAATGAAAACTTACCACAGAGCGTGATATTTGGCACAATCGCACACCCAAACGAAACCCGCGTGCTGCATGCAAAAATGGATAAAACAAAACTGTAAGAAATGGGCAATGTGCAAGCAAAACTGGAGCCTACTGACATAATTAACAGCCGAAAAGCTGTTTAGTCAGACTCGACGTAATGTGCTCATAAATGAATTGGCAGATGTTCTACCTTAAATATATGCTAATGAATTTATTTTCAAAATCCATGACAAGAAGGATAAGTTAGCTGAGGTGATTTCCAGTAGTTCGTAACGCATCACTCTTAACTTCACATTTAAAAAGCAGTCAACGGTGTAAATTTGAATGTGGGGCTATTTTTGCCGGTCTCAGGCACACCAACACAACTGTGTCCAGATAACGTGAGATTTATGCTCTTTTGTGCTCTATTAAATTTCCCGTTGGATTCTATGTTTTACACTTGGATGTTAAAATGTTTAGGAGCGACGGTGGGCGTATAATTCGGCGACGAGTCCAGAAGCATGTAGACGATATATGTGGAAGAATAAACCAGGAGGAAGAACATCTCGTTCACAGCAGTCCAGGTGTCAGACTGCCTACTAAAAGACCAATTTAGAAATGTGATCGATTTCAGGTTTTATCGTAGGACTCCTCGTCAGTGGTGTCTTTCTAGTCAAAGTATACTAAGTAAATGGATAGACACATTATTTGCAACTCTTGTGTAACAAAATAAATTCCATTCAAGCGGAGGATTTAAATGTCCTTATTTCGCTAGCTACACATGTCGAATGCATCATTTGCGATGCACCTAAACGAGCCCCCATTAAGCAAGTAACTAATGGTAACGCCATCGAAAGTAGCGAAAGGTGTACCGTTGTAAACGGTGAGAAGTACAAAAATGACGACTGTCACCTTTCATAAGTTAAAAACTGGTATATGTGTCCAACTTTCCACTAGATCCGCTCCGGCTGGTGTACCTGGGCATGACAAGGAATCAGATGCGTTCGTGGGTGAAAGGCCATAGGTCGGAGGTAACTGGTGAGGCGAGTCCGTTTACAATAAAGTCGCACGAGGTAGCAATAGTCAGCTAGAAGACCCAGAACCCAAACACCTATTTACCTCCTTGTTTTCGCACCTATTCAGAAGTCAATGTGACTTTGATGTATGAGATGATTATGAGTACAGGTTATTTATCCCACGCGACCGGATAGCTGTTCTTAGGAACATTTTACGCCTTACGTATTTGAAACACGAACTAATGTACGGCACAATGCCAAAAAGAACAGGTAGCTGAGGATTTTCGAGAGCGTTGTCGAATTCATAAAGACGGGATATATAGAACTTAACTGCGGCTTTATAATAGAACCGCTGACTCAACCACG